TTTCCAGATGTCCAAGTAGTAAAAAGATTCTGTAATTGTAAATTAATGCAACTTTCACAGAATTTATCAGAGTATCTTGTCAATTTACACTTGTTACATTCTTTTGGTTTGCCTTCTTTATACATTGCATTGTCTAACTCAAAATTATAAATAAATCTATCTTTACAATATTCTTTTTCATTTTTAGAAAGCTCCTCATTCTTTTCAACTAATGAAAAAAAATAATCCTTTCTGCTTTCTTTATCAGAATTAATAAAAGAATTACAATACATTTCACAATAAATTTTAAATGCTAATTTCTCACTTTCTTGTGATAATACTCTATTAATATAAAGAGACATTATATAAAAATAAATGTTTTTATAAAATTTAAGAAAACGAAAAATAATTATTTATAGATCGAAAACCTCGAAATATATCAGAAATCATCTAGTGCTAGAATAAGTAACAATTTAATTAATGTTACAATAAATTAATATTAATTAATTATTAATTCATTTTAAAGGGTCTAAGGAATATTAAATTAGAGTGAAATCTAACAAAATAATTGTTTAGCGAGAGAGGTGTTGTTATTAAGAGCTAGAGAGTGGCTATATGGATTATAGTGAAAGATAATTTAAAACGTATATATACTTTTCATTTTCGATTATTATTAGACTCTGAAACGATTTATAATTATTTTATTCCTTTGATGGAATGACGCGTGTAACAAAAAATTCTTTCGTAATGGGATTTTTTAACAATTAAATGGTTTATTTGATTTTTCTCTATCAGAATTAAGTTTTAAAGGGCACAAAAATCCTATCATGATAAATCAATCACTAGAGTTTGATGACGATGAATTTTTTTTTTGACGTTGAAGTTGATTTTGCTTTTTTTTTTCATTTATATATTAATTTATTTAGTTATTTATTCAAACTTACAAAATCCTGTACCTAAACCTGTCTAACGTATTATGTAATAGTGCCAATATTGATCAGTATATGTGTGTTTCAAACTCAGACACTAAAGACAGCACAAGCGTATTTTTATTGTTAATATTTACTACCACGCGTAGTTAACTTCAAAGTCAAACCAAAAACATTAATTTGACACAACTAACTATCAATATTGAACTGCCTATGTGCGCTCCAACTCGGGCACTAAAAACAATTCGAACGCGCATTTTGTTCTATGAAATTTAATAATGAAAGAAAAATATTAGCAATAGTTGTGGTAATAATAAAAGAAACATTAAAATGTAAGCCTATCCAATACATTAGTCAACATATCGAGGAATGAAGGAGCGAAGGAGAGCGAGGAAAATTGAAACGAGATTCGAAAAAAGCTTGCAAATTTCAAAATTGGTAATTTAAATTGTTGTTTTAAAAATTTGTTTTTGAGGAATTCTAGTTCATCTAGTTCATTAATCAATCAATATTCATATATCTGGTTGCATTAAGACATTTATATATCTCTTTACAACTTTGTTTTTATTTTTTTGTTTGGTAAAATTTGATTTTAATCCATAATAATAATGTTAGAATAGTTGACGTATTTATACATAGAATTAAGACGAGTAAGACTTACCCCCCCCCCCCCCCTCCCAATAATGATTTATCTATTTATTTATTTTTAGACTGTAATCTGGAGTTTGGAAGGGTGTTTAGATCCTTCTATACAAAGCTTGGATCCAGATAGAGTTTTGATAAACTGATAGTAATAGGATATCCGAATAATAATAAAGTTTTGATGAATGGATAGGATATCCGGATCCAACCCCTAATTCTACAAGAAATAAACATTTATCTGATATTACAAATTTCATCTTTACTTCCTTTAATAACAATAATAATAAAGGTGGTTACACGATCGATCATTATTATTATTATCAATGACAAGAACGTCCTAAAAAACGTGCATACTATGAGAAGGTGTAGTAAAATCCTTAAAAGCATTAATGTAATAAATAAATCGGACATAATAATAAAGGGAAAGAGCATATATTACACGCACAAATTTTAATTCATTTAAAAAAATAACTTGTGTATTTTAACTTATATTTACGAATAAAAGAAAAGTGTATATAACGCGCATAAATTTTTATTAATTCATTTAGAAAATAACTTTGTGTATTTTTAATTTATATTTAGATATATATATATATTTACGATTTAATGCAATTAATCTTATATATATATATATTTATATATAAGTGTTTGGGGGGAAGAAGTGTGATTGATTATGATTATTTGCTAAAATAAATGCATGTATGAATTTATGTAATATACTTATTTAAACTGCCTAAACCTATTATTGTATCCTGTTCATAATATATACCATTTGAAACATTATCTTTTGTAGAATCACCACGAGCATTTTCTAAATGTTCTAAATATTCTTCTGTTACGCCACCAGTTGTATAATGACCATTAAAGACTGAACAATCAAAATTTAAAATATTTTGATTGAACTTTCTACAAGATTCTATTAAATCATCTAATTCCTTTTATGATAAACAAATAACAGAATAATAATAAATGAAATACATACACATATATATAGAAAAATAATATTTAATATTTAAAAAAAATGATTTTTATAGTTGATTACCTGATATATTACTTTATCCGCACCAATTTCCTGAGCTATTTTTTCATTGTCACGATCATGTGCTACCAACTCTTTACGTGATGGCATATCAATCCCATAAACATTAGGATATCTTAAGCATACATACATACATACATACATATTCATATATCAGTTTTAACATGAATAAATAGAAAAATAAAACTTTTATTAAAATATTACCTACCTAATAGGTGGAGCACATGATGCAAAATAAACTTTCTTGGCACCAGCATCACGAGCCATTTGTACAATTTCTTTAGATGTAGTACCTCTTACAATAGAATCTATAAATGATGATTCGTTAAATACTCATTTTAATTTTTTTCTTTACATCAAATAAGAGCAATAAATTAATAAACTAACTAACCATCGACTATAAGGACATTTTTATCTGTAAATTCTAATGCCATAGCATTTAACTTTCTTCTTACATTTTTTCGACGCATTTGTTGCCCTGGCATTATAAAAGTTCGACCTACGTAACGATTTTTAATAAATCCTTCACGATAAGCAATGTTCAATTTATGAGAAACTTGAAGAGCAGCCACACGACTAGTATCGGGTACCTATTTTTACAATAAATAAATAACTTATATATAATGATGTTGACATTGATGATGATGATGATGACAATAATAACACAAAAAACATACAGGAACAACAACATCAATATCTAAACTTTTGCCATATGTTTTAATCATTTGATCAGCTAAAAATTCACCCATTGCTAATCTTGAACGATACACAGAAATTCCATCTATTACAGAATCTGGACGAGCAAAATAAACATATTCAAATATACATGGTGAGAATTTTTTTTTTTCTACTTCTACTAATTGACGTCGTGTAATTGCTTGTTTCGTGATGATAACAGCCTCGCCTTTTAAATTTTATATTAGATTTATAAATATGATAAAAAATTACATGATAAGAAAAAAATAATTAAATTTTACCAGGATTTATATCAACGACATCTGAAAAGCCTAACGCATCCAGCACAACACTTTCAGATGAAAACATATAATCGGTACCGTGGCTATTCTTTCTTTTTCCATAACAAATTGGACGAATCCCATTTGAATCACGAAATCCAATAATGCCAAATCCTTATAAATCAAAAGAATTTTTTTTTCAAAATATAATTAATCATCTAATTATTTATCATAAATTGACATAAATCAATATTAATATATTAAAACCTGCAATCATTGCAACACATGCAAACCCCCCTATACATGTTTGATAAATTCCTTTTATAGCAGTAAAAATATCTTCTTCATTAATTCTAATAATCATAATTTAAAAAAAAATTTTTTTTTTATTAATTTATTAATTCATAAGAATTTAAATCTTGTAAAAAAAAAACATATTTACCTAATTTTTCCAATTTTTTGCAAGTTATCAGCAAATATATTTAATAATAATTCTGAATCAGAATCTGTATTGATATGTCGATGAGCATTAACATCCAAGAACTCCTTTAAATCCTTTGCGTTTACAAGATTGCCATTCTAAAATTATAGGTGTTTTTTATGATGAATTTTATATATATATATAATTTTCACCAGTTCAAGAACTTTTTTAATGTCAAAATCAATAAATAAAAAATTTTTTAAGTTATAAAAAAATAAAGTAGACTGAAAACAGTATTTTATATGTGTATGCTTATAGAAATTCCAATCCCGTAAATTAATTCTTGATTTTATATATCATTGTCTCTTCAATTAACTAACATACATGAGCAAAAACTATACCATATGGACTATTAACATAAAATGGTTGTGCTTCCGAACGTGAAGACGTACCAGCAGTTGGATATCTTACTGGTTAGCATATATATATATATTATTAATCGATGACCATTTAATACCATTAAAAAAATTTTAATACATGAATGATAGATACCATGACCAACCCCAAGACTTCCACCCAAATGTAATAAAACTTCATGATTAAAAACATCACGAACCATTCCATTTCCCTTACACTGATAAAGACGACCTTTATTACCACAAGTAATGATTCCTGCTGCATCCTACAAAAAAAATTTCTTATATAAAATGTTTTATGAAACTCAAACTTACTAAATCAAAAATGTTTTGTTATTACCTGACCTCTATGTTGTAGAATTTGTAGGCCTTCAAATAACTCTAAGCTTGCAGAGATGGTAGGGTTGGTGAGTAAAATTGCTAGAATTCCACACATTTTTATTTTTGTTTTTTATTAATCATCAAAAATAAATAAAAATTTTTATCTCTTCGTACTCTCGTGTAACAAGTACCAATTTAGAAACTATCTGCAATAATAGTAAAATAAATCGAAGCTATTACTTTTACTATTATTATTATGGTTACTGAAAAATATTTATGGTTATATTCAAAATATTAATGTATCAAGTGATTATGGTAATGTTATTTTTGAACGGAAACTCCCTGTTTCAAGCTTTTTTTTTTAATTATTCGATAGCCCTAATTGCTGATCACCAAATAATAATAATAATAATAATAATAATAACTAATAATAATAATAATAATAATAATAATAAATCTTTAGCGACGTGACGGACGATTGATTCCTATACGTGTATTGATTTTGGTTTAATATAGTACAAACATTTCAGCCAATATATTAATATCATGCATAAATCAATACAATGGCAATTGTCGATCATATGTAATTTCACTCAAAATACACTTTTTGAGAACATTAAAGCTTTAATAATTATATTGAGTTTTACCTGTTTGTGATATACATGGAATTTTACCATCGTATCCTGATTTTATGTAGCAATTCAATATGTAGGGTAACATTGGGATTTACCACGGTAATTCTTTTTATCGTGGTGATAACCTATCACTAGACAAAGGATTCCGAATCTAAATCTTTTTTTTTGTGACATCACTCACTATACTGATATATATATAATCAATATTTGGCCATACTTTTGATCATGGATTATTATTATTAGTTGGACGACATTTCACAGTGACTGATTTTAATATATGATCGACATGACACGTTTTCTGTACAACGGACTTTGGCGAATGAATTGAACGTAAACTCATTATTAAACAATTTTCGTGCCTTAAGTAAAAACAATTACTTACTTTCGACCTTTAAAACGCGAGCTTTAGCGTTTGTAGCTCTTCCAGTTATGGAGTAATAGCTTCTCAAAGAAACCTATGGTTTTTGACTTCGGAAGCTTAATTCTTTTCGGAAATCAGCTCTATTGAGATCGTTTTAGCATGATAAGACAGAGTAGATTAAAAGCTTTCAGAAAATATATGGTTTGTATAGGTTTCTTGGGAAAAGGAAGAAATTAAAAGCAAAAAACGGTTTTATAAGTTATTTATTATTATAAAAACTTTTCAACAATTTTTTTTCACATTATTGTTTTCCAACTTTTGTTACATATATTGGATTTGATATTATTATTATTAATTATTATCAATTTAATAAATTAATAAATTAATAATCAATTTTATTATTATATGTGATAATGATCTTAAATTTAAACTTTTTTGTTGTAAAGAACTTTTATTTATTAATAAAAAAAAGGAAATAAATAAATCAAATACCAAATGTATGTTGTAGAAAATATTCTATGAAAAAAAAGTTGTTACACGAAATTTACTTAGTCTCAATTTCCCAAGTGTATAACAAAATTCGGAATTTTCAAAATGCTAAGGCTCTGCCAATTTTCAATTTAAGAAAAAACCAGCCGATAAGTTTTGAAGCTTGAGTCATGAACAATAAAACTTATCGGTTAAATTTTTTAAAATGATATAATTTTTTTTTGTTTTAGTATTTTGAAGTTGACCAATTGTTACTATAAGCAATTAATGATTATAGATGATCTGCACTGTAGTACTAGAGACCCAGGTTTATGCATTCGCATAATTTTTTAATGCATAATTGTGATACACAGATTTAAAATATAAAAAATGGTCCTACTTGCTTTCCAAAAAGCCAAAGAAAAAAATTACAAAGATGATTTTTATGTGGTAATAGTTACGCGACCACTATTATTTTAGAAAATAAAAATTATTTAAATTAGATACATTGGTAAAAAATTCAAATTTGACTGCAGTAAATGTTTGTGTAAAGGTGAACGATTTTAGTTAATAAAGGTCAAACTTTTGGTAAAGCCGTACACCTTAACAAATGTTAACTATGTTTATTTTCTTTACCAGTGATAGAATTCAATGTCAAAATATTTTAGCTGATATCATTTAATACTAATAAATTATTAAAGGCATGTATACAACATTGCATTAATTAAATCCCTTTCTCCGAAAAAAAAAGGATCAGTAGTGTTATTATTATTAAAATAAAAATTTTTTTACATATAACACGGTGTCTACTACTGCTCTTAACTGGCTAACGAATTGATTGACCGCCGGTTAAACAAAACCTTAATCGGTCAATATTAAACGGTTGACGGTGGTGCAACTTGAACGAAGTACCTATCAAAATAAATCAAAGAAATTATTAACGAATCTTATAAATACTGTCAATAGCCACCGGCTTGTGTTTTATATTATTCAATATGACTTCTTTTTGATAGGTCCACTTTTGTTGGAAAGTCTGCTATTGTTTCTTTATATGTTACGTTTGTCTATATCTTATTTGGTTGCTAAAAGTCAAAGATATTATATTTTCTATTTTGGAATTATAGTTGTAATTGTCAAATTATTATCTCTTTCCAATTATCTATCATCTTTGGAATGGAAATTATAGTCTATTTTTTTCCACACCATAAAACAATATATCATTTACTTTGTTTATATTCTATTGCTATCATAGTAATTTTATTCGTTTTTACCTCCCATTCCATCTTGTACTGTTCTTATTTTTCTTTTTTTAGTTAAATAAGACGAATCATTGAATTTAAAAAGGAATCATGGAAGAAAAAGAAAATTTCATCACACAAAGGGGTCCATAGCTAAAGAAGAAGGAAAAAGTTTTACAGAATATAACGTATATACACTTACGTTTCTCATAACCAACAATCAACAACAACTACGATTTATTTTTTTTGTTTGCTTATTTCCAGTAGTGTGATTGGCAACCTGCAAACAATTATACCCTCTTCATCCAGAATGAAATACAGTCAAACCTTGTTACAGCGGATGAACAACACATAATGAATTTTAAAAATCGTTGTGAATTATAGTCAAGGTTTGACATGACAGTTAAAATAATATATACTAATACCGACGGACAAATTTTTAGATACAAAACAATTCAAATCTTTAAAAAAAATTTTTTTTTAATAATACATTTTCTCCTTAATAAATAAATTTATCCACCACCAAGTTACAAAAAAAAAGTACATCTTACCCTTTGCTTCCTTATTTTAAATTAGTCATAATATTAAAGAAATAAAGATTAATTTATAATTTTTTCCTAAGAAATATTGTTTATGTATATACTAAAAAATTTTTTTTCTATGATATTAATAAAATTTAGATATGTTCATCTTCAGGCAATAATGGTTGATTTTCAGTGGCCGGTGTTAATGGATATGAGAAACATGATGGGGGACGCATGACATTATTAAAGATAAATGTCCCAAGTATTAAAATAATAAATCCTAAATTAAAATAAAAGTATTAGCATATACAATTAATTGATATATATAATGATGATGATGATGATTCAGCACTTTATGTGTTAAATATTTACCAAAAACTTGTAACCAAGAGAAAACCTCCCAACCTAATGCTATAGAAATCATCCAAACAAATAATATATTACAAGTCTCAATAGTGGATCTTGAGGTGGCACTAATAGATCTTGTTACTGACAAACCAAAAAAATTGAAAGAAGCAACAGAGAAACAAATTGCAATCCCAGTAATCCAAATTTGTTGATAAGAGATGATTTGATTCCAACTGGCTGGTATATTAAAATAACCATCTGGTTGATGAACGCCAATGGTAAAGTGTAATATGATCATTCCAAAAGCCATTGTTCCCAAACCAAAAATTCCCTCGTAACCTACAGCTTTCAATGGTTTGACATGATATGTTTCCATGATTTTTTCCTCAAGAACAAATTGAGATGCAGTAAATACTTGTGCAAATATAATACAAAATATTCCTAAAATTGCATCTGATACATCTTTATCTTCTTTATCATTATTTGGTTTGATGATGCTATTATCAAATGTTGTTAAATTATTGAAATCATTGTAATCACTGCTAATAAGATCATTTGTAAGTTTTGGTGGAAATAATACACTACTCATACCAACAATTGTTACACCTAATACTACAAGTAAAAGTGAAAACCAATGATAAGGATATAAATGTCTTTGAAGAAATAATACAGAAAATATTCCAGTAAATAATACAACTGCTCCACAAAGCATTTGATAAACTGATGCAGTAGTATATATCAATCCAGCATTCATTAACTTTAAAAAATTTAGAGAATCTAGTAAGAGAAATAACAAATAGTAAATTTGATAATAAAATATTGATATATCAATAGTATAATAATAAAATAGTAATAATGATGATAATAGTTACATACCGTAGCACCACAAATATCACACATTGTTGGAAACCAAAATAAAAATATTTTCCAACCTTTCAATTCTTTAATAGGAACATTAATATCTTCTTCAACAATAATATTATCAGCAGTATCAACACTAGTTTGGTTATTTCCTTGAGGTAAAGGCAAGCATCCATCATTGTTATTATTATCATTATCATTTCCTTTTGAATTGTTTTTACCTTTATGATCATCATCATTATGATATTCCCAAGCCAATAAAACATAACCAGCCAGAAAACACAAAGTCTCTCCGATAAACATATTCAAAGTTTGCCAAACTGGTTGTTCAAAATACTTTTTATTCGTTTCTTGATCACAGTTTTCAACACATTGCATATCTTGAAGTTTATTTAGTATGGTATTGCACACGCCACCAATTAACATTCCCGTTACCAAAAATTTTGCTGATACAGACATTTTTAAATAATAATGAGAAAAAATTTTTTTACGTCTCAAATCAAAAATAATTGATATTTTTATTTATACCGCAACGGAAGTAATAATGCACCATTTTAAAATTTACTTTATTTGGCAATTATAAAAGAAAATAAGTTAATACTCTATATATACACTCACTGATCATAAATACAAGGACACTTGCAGATCATCAGAAATAATTGAACAAAGAAACATGAAAAAAAATAAAAAATTTATTACCCTAACCACATTTGCTTATTAATATTAAGTAAAAAATCAAATAGTATAATATACCGAAGTTTCGCCGCATATAAACAACAACTTGTTGTTTTACGAACCTTGAAAAATAAAAATGAATTTTTCGGAATTTTCAAAAAAATCTAACTCAAAAATTGACCATTGTGGTATAAGTGAAAAATGTGTCTTATGTTTAAATCTAGTTATATCCAAAACTCTGTAATATAATCGTGTAGTTTTCCGTCAAAATTCATCCGCCAATTTGAATTCCCGTGAGAATACTCGACATCTAAAAATAATTTTTTTTTTTAAAAATATATTGTAAATTTCGGATATTTTAATTTTGGCGGATGTCGAATATTCTCACGGGAATTCAAACTGACGGAAAACTACACGATTATCCAAGATGTCATACAAAAAAATACTCGAACAAGTTAATTTTGAAAATAATTCATTTCAAGGTAAATTTCAAACATTTTATTTTTTTAAAGAGAATTTAAAATGCCCAAAGCTACTCAATTATCTGAATTCGAACGCGGAGAAATTGTTGGCTAAAAAAGGCCGATTTTTCTTATAGAGAAATAGCTCGTATATTAAATAGATCCAAAAGTGTAGTCGAAAAGACCATTAATGATTATTTTTCAAAAAATAAAACAACTGCAGCTCTTAGACCTGGCAGGCTTTAAAAAGAAGACTTAGAATGAGAAACCAAACCCAAAAAATAAAACAGAACTATTCAATTTATTAAAAGAGGAATGGTTTAATATTATCCCGAGGAGAATTAATAGATTAATAGACAATATGCCACGAAGAGTGGATGCTGTTTTAAAAAAAAATAAAGGAAACCCGACAAGATATTGATTTTTTTTTTAATAAATACAATCAATTTAAAACAATTTCATATATTTTTTGATGTCTTTTATGTTTCAAATTGGTGAGCAGTTTGAGGTTAAATCATTTTGTAAAATTTTTACATTTTATTTTTTTTCTCGTTAATTAATTTACCAAATGCTCTAGAATTTTGAAAATAACTAGATTTAAACATAAGACGCATTTTTCACTTATACCACAAAGGTCGTTAGAACTTGACATTGTGGTCAATTTTTGAGTTTAAGATTCTTTTGAAAATTCCGAAAACAACAAATAGTTGTTTATATGCGGCGAAACTTCAGTATATTATACTATGTGATATGAAAATGAATTTTTACTTAATAATCAAATGTGGTTATAAATTTTTTATTTTCATGTTTATTCAATTATTTCTGATGATCTGCAAAAGTGTCCTATTTATGAATCAAATAAGCTAGTAATGCGCTAGAAAACATACTACCATACCACCTAAACTAGCGGCAATAAACCCTCCAACACCTAAACCAGCGGCACCAATCGATTGTAAATTCGCCACAAGACTACCAGCAGCTACAGTTCCACGATGTAATGACATATGCCATGCCGCAATAGATCCAGCTGCAATACCATCTTCTCCAAATCCTAATGCTCTCACTACCCCACCAATTACAACAGGACCCAGAGCAAAACCAGCAATCGTTGCAGTGGTTGTAATCAAACCATCCCTCATGAAAGTATCAAGAATTATGCTTTTAAAAATGTTTGCAAGTGGAATGACAGATAAACTTGCCATTTTCTTTGTTAAAAAAATTTTTTTCTTTAAAAAAAAGAACAATTAAGTGCAGATTCAGTACTTTGGATTTATTATTATGGTCGCTTATGATTATAAATTCCTGTGTAGATTATTTACCAAATAATGATGTAATATTACGCATAAAAATTAATACTTTCTCACGCACGATATATTAATATATTATTAATATATGCATTTCATAAATATAACAAGAATTACCCCAAGACCAGAACATTTACTAATCATTGACACAATTATTTGTTTGAGAGAAGGAATGAGAACAGGTAACAAAATTTTAACACATGCAATTGTTGATTAACCAATCAAAATCGTGAATTTGATAATGTAAAAATAAATAAATGCAAAACAACAAGGCAAGGCATATTTTTTGGTTGATATTTTTTGTAGTTTGCGAAACAGGGAAATACATTATTAAATGACGAATTTTCAAAAGGCTATTATTTTTAATTATCCGAGATTAATATATATTAATATATATACATACACAAGTTAATTTTAACTTGTTGAACAACTTTAAATTAACGAGCAACGTTGGTTTTTGCAACAGTTTTCTTTATTTATTGTTAAAGTCGCAGTGCGTAAAACGTATGTAAATTCTCAAAATAATTTTTACCACGATAAACTTTCACCTTTATTAATTCATTGAATGATCGAATGAATTGATTAATTATCAAATAGCAAACCAACACCTTAATAACCACCAAAGCCACTAATTAAAAATAAATGATGATTACACAATTAACCGGTCAAAGCAACAATAAAAAGTTAAAAAAATTTATTGTAATTATGAAAAATTATTAAGTAAAAATTCTCCACAGATTCTACATTTTTCAAGAAATTGTTTTTTGTCAATTGAAATCTTATTATCATTTATATTTCTGTGCTTAATTTGGGAAACTTGAATTCATTCTTTTATATAACAAGGGAAAAAATTGAATTTACTACTTAGTATATGAATTTAAAGAGCAAGATTTTTTATATGATGGCATATAATGAAAGTAAGAGTTATGATTATATTGATTATTGAGATTTTATTATGATTATGAAATTATTGAATAGAATTTTAATATAATTGGCATTGGTTCCTGAAAAAATTATGAATTTATTGAATATGAATTTAATGGGCTTTGACTGTAATATGTTTTTTGGCAAGTAGTGTATTGCGATCCTAATGGTAGAAAGTTCTTTTTAATGACCAATTTCCGCCCACACATTATTTTCAGTTTTGGAGTTTTGAAATGATTTTGAAGTTTTAAAATAGTTTTGGGTTTTTAAAAACAGTTTCAGAGTTTTGAAATAGTTTTATTGGAATAAAAGTCCAATCATTTGATGCAATTAAATACTAAAATTAATTATGAATAGTATGAAAAATAAAAAAGGTATTAATATTAACATTAGTAATAATATTAATAATAATAATAATAATGAAAACATAGAATGACCAAACAAGTGAGAGGTTCCTTGACAACAATGCAATTAATAAATCTCAGAGCTCAGGCGCTCCCCTGAGATTTAATTACATCATCATATTCTCAGAGTGGCATTCAGTTCAACCTTTTACACATTAAAGGAAGATGAGAATGATTGTAATGCTTAAACATCCAAGCCCTTAAAAGGGCAGTTTCCCATATGTGTGTGTGCGTGTGATCTTCAATGGTTAACGTTGTTTTGACACTTCTTATAATCACCTAAGATTTATAATGATCATGCATTAATAGCTGATCATAAAAATTAGCTTATGTAACTCCTTTGGAATTGGTCTTTGTATTAGTATGTATGGTGTATCTGACATGGAACTTTTTTCGTGAATAACTCATCTGATCTGTGCGACATTCTGTAATAATTACGTGTTTTTTATCCACTAAATCGAGATATCCGTTAAATCAAAATTTTGAATCAGTTTTTTATTATCTAATAATTTCAATTTTTCAAATGGTTTAAATGCTTTAAATTCTTTATAATCTATTTCTAAATCACCTTGTTGAAGAAAATTAAAAGCTATATCAAAAAGAAATTACGGCATCTTTGTTGGAACTTTAGACATAGTGTTACTATTATATTATTAATATCATTTTTTCTCTGTTTGAAATCCCTTCAACTATATTTCTTTAATTTTCAATTTCATTATTAGATATTTCATTTTCCAAAGGGAGAATTGCAGTTTTCCTCCAACTATTATTATCAATTTCGGTAATTCAGACATTTATATGCCACGTGAATCTGCTGTAGCCATAGAAAGACCCCATCAAAAATCCGTGGAACATATTTATTAATAAAATCCGTTATGGCAAACTTCAATTATAATTAATAATAATAAGGGGACAATACTTAAATCTGTTGTAACAAAAAATCCGCTGTGACGAGGTTTGACTGTAATATATAAAAAAATTTAATAAATGGTGGTTAACCGGTTAATATTGTTATTATCTATGCTGTTTGTATTAGTAGGTATCTAGAATTTATGATCATGATTACATAAAAATACGCAAACGTTAATAATATTTTTAAAATATGGCTCTGCTACGTTGCAGAGACATGATTTGCGAGCTCAAAACATTCTTCAAAATCAAAAAATCTCATCTATATGATGAGTTATAACAGTTTATGCAAAGACAATTTTTCCTTAATTAATTATTATAATAATATGGCTATCAGTCACCGGGCATTGTAGGTTCGTAGCAAACCATTGTGCAAATATTTGATGAATATCTTTTTTATACTGCCGTATAGTTGTTATCTGGTATAACAAATGACTTGATAAGGCTTTAAGGGATATTAAAGCAACGTCAATATAATTTACGTACCAATTTGGATTTCATATTCAAAGGTTTCTTTATTAATATCATGTAAATAAGTGTATGTTAAATTGAGAGGGTTATGCGTATGTTATCTTCCAAAGAAAGACCTGACAGAAAGTTAGTTTTCCCAAATGCTGTACTTTCAAAGTTCACTAATCCAATTTGTAATGAAATGCAGATTACAAGGCATTCGGTAAAAGAAATACTGGTTAAATTTGACAACTAGCATCAGACATATAGGCAGTGTTATCTGTGAGCCAAAATTACATTTTCTCGCGACTAATATCATTTCCTTCGCATTTTTTTGCTGCTTTAACTCTTTAGCTACAGTATTCCCGTTACATTTATCCAAGTCATCGATCTTTGTAATGGTAATTGTATGCAGATTTTTATCTTCATTCCGATGAGCAAAAAGATCATTTGTCACCACGTGTGCTTTCATCACTCATTATACCATAAGAATAAGAACGCAATTTGGCGACTTTAGGACAATGCTTAGGAAGGCATAAGGTAGCAACTATTATTCCAGCGTGACATAGTTCTGGTTGAAGCCAGTGATCTGGTTTCTCACCTGTTGAAAAGTGTATAATGGTTTCTAGTACATTCAACAGTGTATGAAATAGAAATGCTGCCCCCTTATGGATTTTGGATGGGAAGGAGCTATGATGGATTTTATTAACCGAGTCTCTTAATATAAAAAGAAGTGATAAAGTTGCTCAAGTTTTTAGATATAACACTAAACATATGATTAGAGAGAGCAAGCTAAAATATATAGAAAATTTGTACATATGCTGATTGATGTTGATGAACTAGGTTCGAAAGACGAGAAATATCCATCATATAGTAATAGATAATACTTTAGCATCCCGAAATATGACTCTTAATTGGACTACCGGTTTGCGTTTTGTATTATTTCAATATGAGTCCTTTTGATAGGTCCTCTTTTGTTGGAATGTCTGCTATTGTTTCTTTATATGTTACATTTGTCTGTATTTTATTTGGTTGCTAAAAGTCAAAGATATTATTATATTTTCTATTTGTAATTGTCAAATATAGTAATGATATTATCTCTTTATTCTGGCGAACGATGAATTCTCCAATTATCATTTTGTATTTTTGGAATGGAGGTTATAGTCTATTTTTCCCACCACTATAAACAATATATCATTTATTTTATTTATATTCTATTACTATAATTTTATTCGTTTTACCTCACATTCCATCTTGTTCTGTTCTTATTTTTATTTTCTTTAGTTAAATAAGACGAATCATTGAATTCAAAAAGGAACCATGAAAGAAGAGAATTTCATCACACAAATGGGACCATAGCTAAAGAGGAAGGAATAAGAGTTACAGGATATAATGTATATATACTCACATTTTTCATAACCAACATTCAACAACAACCACGATTTATTTATTTATTTGCTTATTTCCAGTAGTGATTGGCAACTAGACTCTTTTAGTTCCTTCATCGGAAGGAAATATGATAATAACAACGTAACAGTAAAATAATATATATAGACAGGCTTTAAAACTACAAATTTTTTAGATGCGCGGGCACAAAGCAACAATTCAAATCTTTAACTTATCTGATAGATGACATTTTATTAAAAGATTAATGGTAATTAATTATAATTATCCACCATAATTACAAAAAAAAATTACATCCTATTCTTTGCTTCATTATTTTAAATTAGTCATTATTATTATTAAAAAAATAAAGATTAATTTATAATTTTTTCTTCTAAGGAATAGTTTATATATATACAAACATACAAAAAAAAATTTTTTTTTCTATAATATTAATAAAATTTAGATATGTTCATCTTCAGGCAATAATGGTTGATTTTCGGTGGTTGATGCTAGTGGATACGAGAAGCATGGTGGGGGACGCATGACATTATTAAAGATAAATGTTCCAAGTATTAAAATAATAAATCCTAAATTAAAAAAACAAAAATATTAGTATATATAATTAATTAATATATATAATTAATTGATATATGTAATTAATTGATATATCATATAATTAATTAGTATAATTAAATTAATTGATATATGTAATTAATTGATATATCATATAATTAATTAGTATAATTAATTGAATATATATATAGTTAATTGAATATAATTAATTAATATATATAGTTAATTGATATATTATGTAATTAATTAGCATATACAATTAATTGATATATATAATGATGATGATGATGATTCAGCACTTTGTGTTAAATATTTACCAAAAACTTGTAACCAAGAGAAAACCTCCCAACCTAATACTAGAGAAACCATCCAAATGAATACTATACGAGAAGTATCAATAGTGGATCTTGAGGTGGCACTAATAGTTCTTGTTACTGACAAACCAAAAAAATTGAAAAAAGCAATAGAGAAACAAATTGCAATCCCAGCAACCCAAATTTGTTGATAAGAGATGATTTGATTCCAACCAGCTGGTATATTAAAATAACCATCTGGTTGATGAACGCCAATGGTAAAGTGTAATATGATCATTCCAAAAATCACTGTTCCCAAACCAAAAATTCCCTCGTAACCTACAGCTTTCAATGGTTTGACATGGTATGTTTCCATGATTTTTTCTTCAAGAACAAATTGAGATGCAGTAAATACTTGTGCAAATATAATACAAAATATTCCTAAAATTGCATGCGATACTTCTTTATCTTCTTTATCATTATTTGGTTTGATGATGCTATTATCAAATGTTGTTATATTATTGAAATCATCATAATCACTGCTAACAAGATCATTTGTAAGTTTTGGTGGAAATAATACACTACTCATACCAACAATTGTTACACCTAATACTACAAGTAAAAGTGAAAACCAATGATAAGGATATAAATGTCTTCGAAGAAATAATACAGAAAATGTCCCAGTAAATAACACAACTGCTCCACGAAGCATTTGATAAACTGATGCAGTAGTATATATCAACCCAACATTCATTAACTTTAAAATTTAGAGAATTTAGTGTGAGAGAGAGCGGAGTAATAATAAATATGTAAATTTGATAATAATATCAATAGTAAAATTTGATAAAATAATAATGATGGTGATAATAGTTACATACCGTAGTACCACAAATATCACACATTGTTGGAAACCAAAATAAAAATATATTCCAACCTTTCAATTCTTTAGTAGGAACATTAATATCTTCTTCAACAATAATATTGTCAGCATTAGAGGTAATGTCAGTATTATCAATACTAGTTTGGTTGTTCCCTTGAGGTAAAGGCAAGTATCCATCATTGTTACTATTATCATTATCAGCAACACCATTTCCTTTTGAATTTTTTTTACCTTTATTATCATCGTCATTATGATACTCCCAAGCCAATAAAACATAACCAGCCAGAAAACACAAAGTCTCTCCGATAAACATATTCAAAGTTTGCCAAACTGGTTGTTCAAAATACTTTTTATTCGTTTCTTGATCACAGTTTTCAACACATTGCATATCTTGAAGTTTATTTAGTATGGTGTTGCACACGCCACTAATTAACATTCCTGTTACCAAAAATTTTGTAGATACAGACATTTTTAAATAGTAATAATAGGAAGAGGGAGAAAAAAATTTTTTAAGCCTCAAATCAAAAACAGTTGATATTTTTAATATTTAATATTTTTATTATTTATACCACAATGGGAAGTAATAATGCACCACTTTAAGATTACTTTATTTGGAAAATTGGAAACACCCGAAATCTGTATTACCGAACAAATTCACTATTACTATATAGTGATTAGAAATTTAGAAGATGTTGAAGAACTGTGGAAAAATTTCAAACAATTATTTTATTTAACAAAATAGTAACTGAATCCATGAATTGTCTAAAGAAGGAAAGAATCCACTACCTTCACTTAAAAAATTGCTATCAACGAAAGCCGACTCTAGAAAAAAAACAATAGAAGCAATTTAAGGGTGGATCAATGTGGAAAAGAAAAAGAATAAAAAGATGGAGGGCGATGAGAGCAATGAAGAAGATACTAATATTGGTAATGAAGTTCGTTATTAATAGTAATGATAAAAGGAATAATGAAAATATAGCATAGGTTTTCAAAGAATAGATAATACTCGTAATGGCTTTGGATTCGAGTACTTTCTCCCACACACAGGTACTCTGGCACTTTTTTCTTATCTTTCCTATAAATTAGCATTAATAGTATCAAAATAAAGAATAAGTTTTCGTATATGGCATATCTTTGCCTCTGTATGTTGTTGTTATATCTGTTAAAATGTTTATGTTGATTACGTTACTTGTATGCCTTTTTTAAATTTATAAATAAAAGACTATGCAAAGTGAAATTTTAAAAGAAATCAAATTCTTTTAAGAAATAAATGGTCCTTTAGATATTTGAGATAGAAAATAAGATTATTTTTCCTTTTCCAATTGTATTACAACTGCATTTTTAATTGGAAAACGCCATATGTGAGAAGCAAATATTTACGTAATCTTATGTAAATATTATAGATATTATACAAAAAATTAATTAATGTCGTGATCACTACCTCCCAAATATTTTTATTGTCAAGACATTGATTAATTGAATCTTTGGCATATGTGTCAGCCTCTTTTACCTCTTTCTCTATAAAAAAATTTACTGCTGTTATTTCTACTGAGATACTTGTTGCTTTGATACTTCTAACAATATTCATTTTTATAAAAATTTTTTTTTGAAATTTTAAGAGCACATCTGACGCTATATATACTATCATGGGGAATTATAAGAATTCCACCACCCCACTTCAAGACTAAATCAATTTTTCATTCAACGTTCTAGATTTAAGATATATAGGAATTACTAATTATTTATAAATTTTTTTTTTTTAAAAAAATAATTATAAAAACATCTTTGAAAAATTCTGGATCAGTCCAACAATCCTATAATATCTAGCGAACGGCCATTAACCCGTGGTGGGTTGCGTGGGAATCAACTTGCCATTCTTCGGCCCAATCTTATGTCTTCCCAGATTATTACAACATTACCATCGTTAGCATGATGAATATGATGATGAGATGGGATTCCTGTTCGTAATAATGATCGTCTTGTGACTTCGTTCATTGGGTAAATAACTTATTTTTATTTTTTTCACATAAATATGGGCCAATTTTTACATTCAATAGTGATATTTCTATTAAAGTCAGGATTTCTTTATTGATCAATTCATGCATTTTACAAATGAATTAACATGATACTAATAGTTCTTTATCTTAAAAATGTTCACACTTGTAAGAATTGAAATAAATACTATAGAACTTGCTCTTCCATAATCACTCAATAATTATTTAAATTGTTCAAAGTATGCCTTTTCTGAAATTGGAGTTGATTTTATTTGACTGGTGGATAAAACATCTTGTTTATTTACTGCGCCTACTCAATATAATTGTGAAAATATTTCTTGAGAACCAAGTTACAAGCTTATTCATTTTTAATATATATATAAAATTGAAAATGTTATCACGAATTTCAATTGTATTGAAAAGTTCCAAAGGTACTAAATGACATGAACATTAGCGAATACATATTTCTAAACTTTTTGTCCAGATAGTAAAAAAAATAAAATGTTTAAACAACAGATTACACGAATCTAGACTTTCATAAATGAAAATTCAAACTACGTTAATAAGACAAATAAATTTAATTAGTTTGCTTTTTTTATTATTACTCGAGCTATAAAAGGATTACATGTGGTATAAATTTAATGGATTGTGTTTTTTTTTGGTATTAAATAAATCAAATACAAAACCTCAGTTTACTAGCCAAACCAGCAATTTATAATCTCCAATTCATCAACCAATTCATCAACATTTTAATCTTCTTTACTGTTATTATTGGAGTCTAATGTTCATTAATTGATCAAAAGAAATTATTAATGAGTGGGAATTTTCAATTAATTAGTAATGAATGAAAAATTAATTTACCTTTGTTAAGGAGAAGAGAATTAAAACCATGATCATTTAACGAACTATCATTACTTGTATAAAATTTTAAGCCTTTTGATTTGGCAATTTCATCATCTAATATTCTACTTGTATGGTATGCATCTGGATGTGGTCTATGTAGTTGTCGCGAACCACCACCACCACCACCAATATTACTATTATTATTATCATTAAAAATTGCTTCATGTTTATTTACAGCAAATGTTTGAAGCTCATTAATAGTTGGTCTTTTTGATGGATCCACATCCCAACACTTCTGCATCATTTGTACGTAATCATCAGGCATTTCAGGTAATATTGGTGGTCGTAAACCTTCTTCACATATATCAAAAATTAAACAATGATCATGAGGTCTATCATCAAATGGTGGATAACCTGCAAATATTTCCCACATTAACATTCCAACACTGTAAATATCTGTTTCTTTTGTGTTCTTTGTATTATTTGTGCCTCTAAGTAGCTCAGGTGCGACATATGATACAATTCCATATGTTTTACTTGATGACTTTTCATCAACTGGTCCACATAATCCCAAATCTGCAATATAACAAATACCTCCATCCAATAATATATTACCACTATGTAAATCACAATGAATTAAATCTTTTTCATGTATAAAATATAATGCAACACACAACCATCTAAAAATTGCCATTCTATCTTTTAATGTCAAATTAGAATGATTTTTTTGTAAATAATCCCTTAAATTTCCTTCTAGATAATAATTTAAAACTATTGCATAATTCCCATTATCTGGGAATTTCGTTATACCATAGCAAGTGACAATCATAAATGATTTAATTTTACAATGATTAATTGCCTGTAATTAAATATAAAATCAATTAATACAGCATTATTTATTTTTGTCTTATATAAGAAATACCAACCTCATCAAAAAATGCTTTTCCTGGATTACTTGAATTATTTAAACTTTTTAATACTACATATTGAGCACCAAAATAACTAAATTCTTTTTTCTTTTCATCATAATCAATTATTCTTCCTCTCGTCCATGTAGTTGTATAAATTGAACTAAATCCACCTTCAGTTAATTTTGTTATATCTTCAAATTGCTCAAAAGGTATCCATTCTAAAATATGAGTGGGCAAAGATGATTTCATTTGACATTGTTGAATAAATTTATCAACTATGTCATCCCCAGATGTCCAAGTGGTGAAAAGGCTCTGTAATTGTAATCTAATACAACCTTCACAGAACCTATCAGAATATTTTGTCAATTTACACTTGTTACATTTTCTTGGATTGCCTTTTTTATGCATTGCACTCTCTAATTCGAAGTTATAAATAAACCTTTCCTTACAATATTTTTTTTCATTTTCAGAAAGCCTCTCATTTTTCTTGACTAATGAAAAAAAATAACCTTTTCTACTTTCTCTATCAGAATTACCCAGAGCATTATCATACATTTCATTATCAATTTTACGTACAAATTCCTTTCTTTCTTGTAATATTGATGATGATAATTTATTATATGACATTATGTAAAAATAAATGTTTTAATGGGGAAAACGAATGTTTTAATGAATGGCGTGTAACAATTCTGTAATATTATTTATTATTGCTGTTCGTATGACAAGAAAAATTTCCCCCGATATAGTACTTTCTACATACCGCGCCTCTTGACTCTAAACTCGGACCTATAGAATATTTTTTAACAATAAAATCTTTTGATAAATTTATACACTTCAACAAATGCTTCAAATATTGTTATTTGATCCCTACTAATTCCCATTTCTAATTGATGATCTGATTCTAGTATATTTATTGATGATAATCCAAATATAATTCTTATGACTAAAGAAAGTTTCCTTCGTGATAAAATCTATGTAGGTAATTGTTCGCTTTTATCATGCCTTCTTTCCTAGAGTTAATAAATCTAATAAGTGATTCCTTCTTTATTCGATAGCTTTAACATCATTTATTTTAAATGCATTTTTCCTTTTGTTCATTTTTTATATGGTAGCTTTTGAAACTGCTCGTAAATTTCTTCAACAAGATAATGATGGTTTAGAATTAGATCATAATGAACCCAAGGTTTTTCGTGCATTAAAGAAAAAATTAACTTATATATTTCTAAAACCCAAACCAAAGAAAAATAACTTGATATTTTATCAATTGACTACATTACCATATCATACTGGGGTATTCGATATAAGTTGATTAACAAATCTAATTAATGTCATAATGTAAATACATATATGCGGATTTTTTTATGGTACCCCTTTTTTCTCTAAAAAAGGAAGTGTAACAAAATATATTTTCAAATACGTTATTATTATGAACTTTCAATCGCTAAGGCTTTTGGAAAATCGTTACATTTATAAAATTATTAGAGGTTTTTAATCAGGATACATTTGTAGAACAGTGCTATGGAGAGATAATTTTAATTTCATACAATTTTTTCGGAGGTTGCAATAGATAGAAGTATTATGATAGAGAAGAAATTTTCTGTATTTCGAATGAGCTTTTTACGTCATTTGTATTTTTACATCCATTAAATCTTTCCATAGCTCTAATCTATATTACATATACTATCTTGCACGCTATTTTGGTGTCCATATCTTTAAAAACG